ATCATCGCTTTCTCAAAATCACATAAAGTCATATTATAACATCGACTGAGATAAATAATAAAATAAAATATTAAAATCACGATGTATCTCGCTGCATTGCACGAGTACGTTTTAGTATATAAAAATACAATTTATTTATCTCTTTTGTTTTTTAAGAATAAGGATATTTGAAGGGGTAAAATTGAAGACATTTAATTTGATTGGTGGACTGGGGAAGCACATACCATCCCACATCGCCTTTAACGATATCCAGTGCTAGCTTTATATGGCGGAGGTCGGCAGCTAAGATCGTCCCTTCGGGGACATCCGATAAAATTGGAACGATACAGAGAAGATTAGCATGGCCCCTGCGCAAGGATGACACGCACAAATCGAGAAATGGTCCAAATTTTTTTTTCACCAAAAACCCTAATCCCTTTCTTTTTAGATCTGATTTCTGCAATGGTGGTCGATTCGCCGGATGAAGTTGTCGCCCTCTGTTGAAAGAGCTACAATTCGTTTTCTCGATTTCTGATTGATAAAATACTATTGGAACGGCCATGAATCGATTTCCAGGAGGTATACATCAAATCTTCAAAAGCTAGGTTTTATCTATGTGTTCGCATATGAGCATATTTATGATTGTGTTTGAAACCTTTGTTTATTTGTCTATACAGTTTGCACTTAGATTGGTATATGTTGAAGAATGTTTATAAAGTAGGCTGCTAGTTCATGTTTCTCAATATTTTGTACTAAAATTGTGGTATTTCAGTATGTTTTATCTAGTAAACTGCAAGTTATGATATTGTCAAAAGCTGTTAATAGAGTTTGKGAGGTTATCTTAATGAACCTTGCCAATTTATGATGTTTTGTGACCAAAAAAGGCAGTAACATTGATGATTATATGCTATTGTTCTGATCCTTAGTTAAAATATCCTATACATCGATGATATGATTGATATATCGATGATAATGATGCAAAAGATATAGTTTTCATACAATTTCTGTTTGCATATCTGCAAGGAGGACTTGAATTGAACTATAGAAGCTGCACAAATTCTTGCCCAATGCAATTTCTTGAGTTCGGCCATCGCATCTTGTATTGTAAGAATTTTGCATTTCCATTTTTAACTCATATTTACTACTTATTGTTGCTTCAAGATTCTTCTTGCGTACCATAACTATATACATTTCGTATGTTTTGATCTTAATATCGTCTGGTTTGGTTCATTACCGTTTGTTTTTCTTGCTTTGCATTTTCTTTGTTTTGGGGGTGGTGTTGGTGCTTGAGAATGCTTTATCTATTAGACTGCAAGCTATGATCATGTTAATTTGTGAATTTAAAGCTGTTATTGAATTTGTGAGAGGATCCTRATGAATCTGATTAATTTATTAGGCACAGGCAGAGTTGATGAAAACTTGCGAGTTATGTTTACCAAAAATATAGTGAGATTGACATGGTTCTAACCATTAGTTGAATATCCAACTCTTCRATTGATAAACCAATGGCACCAAGGAAAAAACATGAGACTTTTGAACCTTAAAATGAACTTTTTTTGGGTTAGGATGTCTTCAGACTTGCTTTGGACTACAAGTTGGTTTGATTCTTTACATTTTGTTCTTCTTGCTATGAGTTACCCCTGTTTTTTTTGTTTGTTTTTTCTGGTTGGGGGGGGAGGGGATTGTTGATTTCATAGTCTTTTAATTTGGTTGAATTGGTTCTCTTATAGGCAAATGTTGTTTGGCAAATTTATTAATGTCTCTGATCGTCTAAAAGCTGTTAGATTGATAGCCAGAAGAATGATTGAATGGCCACCAAACTACTCCATTCTAGTTTTTTTTTCTAAATCACTGCATTCTTAAAACCAGAAACTGTTAGAAATCCTTTTTATGCGTTATATTTTTATTGAACGTAACTTCATGTCGTAATATGTTTCAGGGACTGATGATGAGGATATGATCTACTTGTATAATACATGCTTGCAGAAGCTGATGAAATCCTTTATCTCACCCCACTTGCTATAGACAAGGTCAGTCATCTCTTCTTATATGTGTTCTATGTATACCATGTATGTCGCTACAATAAAATCAGGTTTATAGGACGCCAAAAATATCTAAATGTTCTAATAGAATGCTTCATAACACATAAGTTTATAGGACCAAACAATTATGCTTCCTATGTAAAAGTGTTGCAATAAGTTCATTTGATATTTTTGGTGTTTTATAAACCTGGTTTTGTTGTAGTGGGTGCAGTAGTTTGCGCCATCATGTATTTGTGAATGGCATAAATCTACATTGTTTTCTTTACATCTTGTTTGTATTGCCGAATACAAATTAGTATCACCGTCTAACTTCTTCATAATCCATAACTAGAAGGTTATATCGGTTCATGTTAAACAAAACTGTTGGAGTCCTATGTGATTATGGGTCGTAATAAATGTAGGCATGAAATTTCGCTACCGAAATACATGTTCAGTAGTTTCAAGTAAAGGTGGCTCCGATCGATCCGTTTCAATATATATCAACGACAAAGGTGCAGATGTAATTCATATGAGTGAGGTCTTAGTTGCGAGCGTGGGCACCGTTCCTCTGCCAATGGAATGTATGTGTAGATTTACCTCCCTCGCGATTTTCATACGGGTGTAATTCATATTTGTGATCCATTATCTTTTTCACCGCTTTCTATATTTTTTGGATCCACGTGTTGGGTTACATGTGATTGGTTATGTTTAATATAGGATTTGTTAGGTATCACGTATGATTCAATCTGTGAAATTTTGTACAAATCACATGTGATAATATGTGTATGAGAATAAGTTGCATATTATCAAATGCAGGGGTGTAAACGATTCAAGTTTTTAACGAGTTGCTCAAGCTCAAACTTAATAATTCTCGAACTCGAGTCGATCTCGGGGACACAAAATAAAACTCGGTTAACGATTCAAGCTCAATAACACCAATGTCAGACTCTACTTGTTCGAAAGCTCGATTAAAGCTTATGTTGAATTAGCTAAACCACGTGGGTGGCGGTTGTTCATGGATGTCCCTTGGGCCTATTCTTCATCGGATACGAGAGCAAGAAGAGGTTAGTCGAGTTGTGTTGAGCCGATTAGAGCTATGCGTGCATACAATTTTTTGAGCCAAACATATTTATGGTTTATAAGTTATACAATCAAAATATAGAAATCACAAACATTGAAAAAGTACTGATTTTTTTCTTAAAAAAATATAAAAAACATTGAGCAAATAAATGAGTTAACCGATCTCTCGAGTTCGAACCTGTAAACGAGCAACGAGCTCGAGTCTCATATTATTTTTTCGAACCGAACTAGAATAATCTGCTACTCGATTCAGCTCAGCTCAGCTCGTTTACACCCTTAGTTATTATAGTTGAAATCGCCATCATATAATTATACAGGAGTGGTCTAAATACATTTGTATATATTGTTAGATGCACTTCTATCTGTTAAATTTCACTTCATACAAATCAATACCAAAATTTACTTTTTACATTTTCAATACACTAGAAGATGTTCGCGTAATATAGCGAGATATATCTCAATTTTAATGTTTGGTTTTATTATTTATCTATGTCGATATAATATGGTTTTAATGATTTTGAGAAAACGATAATATTTTTATTTCTGAACAAAATATAAATTTAAATATATATTAAAATTTTGGAGAAAAAAAAAGATATCGATATTAGTATCAAATTTACTATTTAAAGTTCTATTTTTTTTTTTTTTGTAATTTCTTCAATTCAATATTTTATTTATAATTTAATTTAGATTTAATAACAAATTAATTTATTTATCGTTTAATAATATAATTTTATAAAGATAATAATTAAGTATTTTGTTATAACTAGTGATTATTCTAATTATATTTTAGATTTTTTATCTTCAAAATGAGATGTATATAAATGTTTAAGTAATATGCATCAATAACAGTATTTTATATATAAAAAATAGGTTTTAAGAGTTTTTATCAAATGTTTTGTAATATACTATAGAAAATTTACTCGAAAACTGTTATAAAAAAGTATTACGTATAACAACCCACTACATATTGGGCCTGTTACTAACGTTTTCAAAACCCAATTGATAGGCCTATCATTATCATTTAATCACATATTGGGCTTTTCTATATCGTCTTCAACATAATAAACCCTAATCACCCGTCTTTCTACTTATATATACACATGCCTTCTACCTGATCAACTCATTCACCATGTTATCATCTGATCTCTTTCGCCGATGTCAAATGTTCATCAAAGTTTTCTTCCTGCAACGAAGCTGTGAATGATCTGTGATTTTCTTATCATTTGCTTTCAGGAATTTGTAAGTTTTTTCGTGTCTGCATTTTAAATTATATTGTCGAAGAGAATCGAAGAGTCAACAGATCCGTGTACAAATAAGCCGATGCTCTGGATTTTTTATGATAGAAGCATGGTACTGTGCACGGAGATTGAGCAACTTTTAGGTCGTCATGTCTGCTCCCACTGATTTTTTCTGATTTGGGGGCCTGGATTAGACCTACATTTTTTCTTGTATATATACTGTAGTTTTTCGATCAAATTGATTTGGACATTAGTTTTGAATTAACACGTAGATTTTGGATCTGGATGGTTTGAATATGGAATTTCGTTTAAGAAATTAACCTGATGTATAAAAGCAGGGACCTATTGCCGATAAAAATGTGAATCGGTCTCTCGTAAACGTCAGGGAAATATAGCTGGGCATCGTTATTGGGTGAACCTCTTGATTAATTCATGATGGAAAAGGTTCAGTAAACGAAGCTATATTCTATAAAAGAATTACGTATTCGAATTGTAAAATGTTTTGAAAATATTCATTGATTTTGCATCGAAAATACTGATTACCAGCGCTCTTAAATTTCAATAGGTGTTGTGTATGAGCCGATGCAATATTGATTTCTTCTCCGCTTTCTGAATAATCAGTTTCTGAGGTTTTAGCTCTCTCTTCCATGAGCCATAATTATTTCAGATGTGGAGAAAAGTAGTTTTTACATTTGAAAATTTTGAGATGATGGATGTGATGATTATTTCCCCAGATGATCGAATCTGAAATAACTGAGCGCTCATATTCAATTTTTCTCTTTCTGGAGAAAAATCCAAGCCAGAAATCTGATCCATCGTCTTTGCTATATTTTGATTTTTACTAATCGGATACAATTCATTTTGTGTTTATTGTTGTGGTTTTGATATTGTGGTTTTGATTCAAATCATAAACCACAAGATCCAAAACTCCATTTTTTTTTGCGAAATCGTTTTCACCACTCGCACCAAAATATTAGAGCCTGATTCAGAGAAAAGCAGCACAGATGGGTTTGTAAACCCCAAAAGAACCATTAATAAACTTGTGGGTTTCAAATGGATCGTCATCATCTAGTGTTTGAATCGTTGAGCATCATCTGGTCCCGTCAACGGCTCCGCACGAAGGTGACGAGTTTTCTTGATTTGGGTTCAGATTTATTTGTTGACGACGGTGTATCTGGAGGGGATGGGTTGATTCAAAGCATAAATCACAAGAACAAGAACAAAACCCCATTTTGACCTACCATGAGGAAGACTGGCCGAGGTAGGCGTCGGAGTTGGGGGCTGCGGTGACTGCTGTCGATGGTCGTGTGGAAGATTTTCGGTGCAGATATATGAATCCAGAGAGTTAAAGAGGAGGATGAGGAAGGTTATTGACTTTGATTTGGGGGGGTTGTTGATCGTTTATATAAATAACTTATTGATTTATATATGTTACTGACTAATGGTAATAAATATTTTTAAGTGTTTGAATAAACAAGTTATATTGATGTCAAATCAGTAATAAGGAGTTTTTAAAGAATTAAAACTCTTCTAGTATATAATAAGTTGATAACTATTTTAGTAGAAAATCATAAGTTGTTAAATAAACAATCCCAAACATGTTCTTAAAATTTTTGGTTTATGTTTTGAGTTAGAGGTTTGAATTTACGTTTTAGGGTTTAGATTCATGATAAGAAAAAGGCAGTCTGTAATTTACTTCTTTGAAATTGAGAGCATCACCTTCAAATTTAAATACAATGTGGTTTTTTTGTTATTCTTTAATATAAGATATGATTTAAACCGAAATTAATTGCGAAAAATTAAGGTTGGTTACTACATTAATATAATTTTTGAAATTATTGTAATATAAAATTTTTAAGTTAATTTAACAAAATTAATAAAAAAGGAGTGATTAGAAAAAATAGATAAAAAATGTACTAAGATTCTGTAATTTGCTGTATAAATGAGTTTAATTGAATGAAATGTTAGGAAATGTTTGGCTGTTATTGAATGGTTTAGTGCAAAATAATTAAGTGGTTTGAATGATTAAAAGGTTTTCATTATATAGTGTAAAATAATAAATAATTGTGTGTTAATTGTTTACAATGAAACTAGGACACTGATTGATTAAAGAAAGTTTAGAATACAATATTATTTATAAAGTTTTAGAATCATTAAGAGATATTTTTTTTGTCAAACAAGATTATATTTTAACGATTCAGATGTTGTCTCTTAAAACCCTAGAGTTGTTTACCTAACATTTACCTGGTAGGCCGTTTTCAGTAAAAATTTACACAATCATTTATTTATTGAGTAAGATTTTGGTTTAATAATACAATATCATATGTAACAATTTATCCGGTAAGTGTTAACCGTGGTAGAGTCAGCACCCTCACTTGCTGTATAAGACTCTTGGTTTTTGCCTTTACTCTTATAGGGTAAGGTTTTTGGTTTTGTGATATTCATCCTGTAAGATAATGTGATTTGGTAAACGCTTACCCGGATAAAGTATTTGGTAAACGATCATTTACATTATTTTTTATACTAAAATATTTCAAAATATTTATAATGAATTTAAAGCTTTTGAAAATATTATGAATTTAATAAAAATCTTACTTGAGGTTATTTTCATTAAAATCTACACATTTACAATCATATTTGATTCAAATGTTTTATGGGTATTTAAATCTACAAAAGTTGAATTACAAAGCTTTATGGTATCATAGACGATCCATGTGCTGTCAGGATGGTGGGGTAAATCTCATCGGATATGATGAGTCTTAGGGGGTGTTTGTAACATCTTAGGTAAATCTCACATCCCGATTATAAGGATAAAGATTCTAACAACACTCTAATAACTTCCACTAAGTTCTAACTAAGTTCTAAGTTAGATTCTAAGTTATTGGGTCAGCCTGCTACTCTGGAGCTTAGAATGTTACAGATGGTGTAAGAGCTGGGAACTGGACTAGTGTGCCAAGGAAGACGTTGGGCTCCAAGAATGGTGTATTGTAAGATCCCGCATCAGTTGAGAAGGGAAACTAATACTACCTCATAAGGGACTGAATACATCTTCCATCAGCCGTATTTTAAAACCATAGGTGTATGATCAAAACAGACAATATTAAATACAATGAACTTGGGATGTTAAAGGCTTCGATTTTGATTCAATCCTTAATAACCCAAATTGATCTAAACACATTACATTTTGATATGCAAACGAGGTGGAAATGTGGTAAATCATGCTAACTCTAATTTTGTAGCGATGAGTGTATCTTCAACAGGTTTTTTTTTTAAATTGTATTTATTTTTTAATTTAAATATTATAATATTAATTATATTATTAATATATTTAAAAAACTTAATTCTTGCCTTTTAAATATTTAATTTTTAACTTTTATATTGATGATAATATAATTAAAAAAATATTATTTTTTATGGTTATCATTTCTTGTAGAGTTTTTTAGATTCAGAGAATTCACATTTTCGTACTTTTTTCTTTCGAAAAAAGGTTCTTGAAAATTTGTTGGAGCAAAAATATTACCTTGAATCATCGGTTTTCTTATTTTAAAAAATCTATTGAAGATGTTTTGATAACTTTAAATGTAGTGGTATTTTTACTCTAATGTATTTTGGTATCATCTAAATTACACATATAGAAGTTGGTTATTATACAACTCTTTACATTTCTACAACTCAAAAGCATCGATTTGATCATCAATAGTTACCTTTTAATCCGTTATAACTACCCTTATTTATAAAAAGAAAATAAAAAATCAGTTGTATAATCTAAAGGGATTGTATTTGAATACACGTTTACTATCAATCTTTTGTGATACATAGCTATTCGATGACTATTAAGTGTACAATATTTGAATCTACGGTTGATTTGACAAAAGATGGACTCTCTTATTTATGTGGTTGAGATGGATGGTGACCAAATATGGACCCATGAATTTTTCATAAGTTTGCATTTTCTAAAACAATACAGTTACACATTTCATGAACCTATTTTTTTTTTTACCTTACAATAAGGGAATTTATTAGCAGCACGTGCCACCATAGGCCCTTAACTGGGTCCGTCCCTAATGGTGGTCCTTAACTGGGTTCGTCCCTGATGGTGGTCCTTAACTGGGTTCGTCCCTGATGGTGGTGGGTTAGAGATGATTGTCAAACAGTGGAATGTAGTTTGATCGGTGATCAAGAGATGACAGTCGAGAAAACAAGTGGAGATCAAGAATTTCTTGATGTTGTCTGTGATTTAATTAAGGATTGTATTGGACCATTAGCGTTTTGAAAGTAGGAAACGAAGTTGACAGTCTACCTATGTTGTACCTGTTACTCGTAACCACCAATTTACAATGTGTTATTGAAATTAAGTTTTGAGATCGATTTGTATTGTTTTTATTTTCAACGGACTGTTGATTGACACATAAGCAAACCATATATTTAAACAACTGGTATTTATAATTGATAATTCAATTTAATTGCACTTTCTGATCTACCAGGTGTAATAACTACACAGTCCTAAATTTACATTTCATTTTTATTATGGAGATTTATTTTGATACAGAGCAAATAATTATTTATAATGTTTTATTGTAAACAAGATACTTTAAAAAAAATGCTTAATTGTCTATTTTTTTAATAATTAATATTGCCTATTGTATGATGTATCTCAACTTTGGATCATTTGTTTTTGATGTGTTGTCAATGTCATATTCAACTTTGGTTCATTTGTTTTTATGCGGTAAAATTTAAGGAGGAATAAAAATCTCTTTTTGTCATAGAGGTTTAAATACGGTGACTTCGAGTTATCTGTTAAGCAGGTAGTCGTCCTGGTATTAGTTTGCTCGCATAGCAGGTTGGATATTCAGGTTCATAAAAATATATATTTTAATATCATATTTAATGTTGGATTCTTCTAAATGGGGAATCGGTTGGAGATGAATGTAATTTTTTTTACAGATTTCAACTTTTGATTTTCCACTTTGAATTTTTTTGGAGAATAACCATGATTTTTACCTCGAACTTTGTATGAAGTGACTGTTTTTTGTTATTATATATATATATATATATATTATTGACTTTATAATTATTGTTGATAGTTAAAAAAATACATGGAACGTATACAATGAGTTCTTATATGAACCATGCCACTGTGAAGTTTTATGTAGATTTTCTTAATTTTGGTGAGGTGAAAATGTTGTGATAAGCAAAAGTACAAAAAATGAGTTATTATAAGAATCTCCGTTGAAGATACTCTCAGGGTCAATTTGGTTTATGTGATTTGATTGGATTTGGAATTCAATTTCATTCCAATCCCATGTTTGGTTTCAATGATTTTATGGATTCGAAATTCCAGGATTTCATTGAAATGCTACAAACATAGGATTTTGAAATCCCACGGAGATGGTTGATATTTCACGAGATCTCGTAGGATTTGTATACAATAATGTTTTAAAATATGTTAAAACATTTGCTTTGTAACAATCGATTAATAAAAATGTAATTTAATTATTTTCATAATTACTTGTGATTTATTTTCATACATTATTTATAAAGAATTGAATTCCATTCCATTCCCAATCCTATAGGACAAACGCAACAAAAATTCCAAATCCTTTCACGAAATCCAAATATCTCGTCAAAGACCTTCCAGCCTAGTGGTAAAGGTTTGGGCATGACATAGTCATGAGCAGAATAATTAAGAGACTTTTATGATATAGTACAAAATAAAATATTACTGTTTGATAATTGTTTACGATGAAATTAAGACGCTCAATGGTTAAGGGATAATTATAATACAAAATCATTCAGAGGGTTTTAGAACAATTAAG